TAAAATTTCTGTGGTTGCCAGGACACGTTGGTATACAGGGGAATGAACGCTGCTGATATGGCAGCGAAAGCAGCAGCAGCAGCGAAACAAACATCGACATCCCTGAAATAAAAAATGTCTGATCATAAAAAGTACCTCATAAACCGTATACAGCGACACTGGCAAATTACATGGGGTAACACTGATACCCACTTAAGACAGATAAAACCTAGTGTAGGATTATGGCCACATCCTATCAGACTGCCACGAGAGGAATGGGTGCGCATACATCGCTACGCTTTGGCCACACACGTCTACACATGCACATCTTTTGCTCGGAACAGATCCGCCCTTGTGCACTGGATGTAACTCTTCACTCACTGTACGCCACATCTCTGCACATGTCCGATATTGTCGCAATATCGAGGATCTATGGACCATTTGATAACCTGACAGAGAGTCTCACACAACCAGAAAAACTGAAAAACGTCATATCATTCTTAAAGTATCTGGTTTCTATTGGAAGATCTGACCTAATGACTTTTTGGAAATGAACCATTTTAATTTTTGTTGTATCTTATTCTTCAACTGAGATTAAATGAATTTATGTAACGATTGATTTTGCATCATACCTACCTTAGCTTAGTATTGTCATCTTGAACTAAAAAAACATGCAACAATAGAATTTGGATAAATCGAAATACTTACGTGAACGCAAACAAGATCGTGAAATGCAGATACTGACCACAAAAAAAAAATTAATATTAATGAATATATGCCTGACAAATTTAGTCGTGTAACATTTTCCAGAAATTATCTTTTGTCGCTAATAGAATCTGAAAGTAAATGACAATAGTATCCTTTTCGATTAATATCTGGAACTTGCGTAGTTAGTTTTTTAAAAATGCGACACTTACCACTTAGACATGTAAGAGATTATATATTTTATATTGATTTATATTATATTTATATATTATTGAATACGGCTAATAACCAGAGAAGTTGACGCCGTCAAAAAAAAAAAAAAAAAAAAAAAAAAAAAAAAAAATATATAATAATAATAATCATATAATAATACTAATAATAATAATAATAATAATAATAATATAATAATAATAATAATAATAATAATAATAATAATAATAATAATAATAATATAATAATAATAATAATATAATAATAATAATATAATAATAATAATATATATAATAATAATAATAATAATAATATAATAATAATAATATAATAATAATAATAATAATAATAATATAATAAATAATAATATAATAATAATAATAATAATAATACTAATAATAATAATAATAATAATAATACTAATAATAATAATAATACAATATAATAATAATAATAATAATAATACTAATAATAATAATAACTAAATAATAATAATATATAATAATAATAATAATAATAATAATAATAATCATATATAATAATAATAATAATAATAATATATAATAATCATAATAATACTAAAATAATAATAAATAATAATAATAATAATAATAATAATCATAATATAATAATAATAATAATATAATAATAATATATATAATAATATAATAATAATACTAATAATAATAATAATAATAAAATAATAATAATAATAATAATTAATAATAATAATAATACTAATAATAATCTAATAATACTATATAATAATAATAATAATAATAATAATAATAATAATAATACTAATATATAATATAATAATAATAATAATAATAATATAATAATAATAATAATATAATAATTCATAATAATAATAATAATATAATAATAATATAATATATAATAATAATACTAATAATAATAATAATAATAATAATACTATAATAATATAATAATAATATAATAATAATAATAATAATAATATCGCTATGCGACGAGGTCCGCGTCCGGCAGGGAGCGTAGGGGAAGGTCGCACCCGGTCGTCATCCAGCGAAATCCCCCCAACATCACCACATATACAAATACTTCACTGAATGACCTAACACAACACCACCAAGCGGTCAATGCTGGTAATAATGTTGCTGTGGACGCATCGCCCCAGCCCATGTTACCAGCCCATAGTAGACGGCAGAGAACCACTTGGACGACAGAAATGAATGAGTACGTGGTTCGCTGCTACTATAGAATTACCAAACTGCAAACTTCACAGGAACCTTATGGTGCTGAATTGCATAAATTAGTGACAGAAAAATTTCCCCAGTTAAGACAAAAGACACTGCAGAACATCCTAGACCAGCGCAGATCTATATTTGTGAACAGCAGATTGCCAGCGGAGAGAATAGATACAATTAGGCTTGAAGTAGCAACCGAATTGGGCATGGTAAATGATGCACAGCAGAGTCAAGAGCAAGCAAATGACGCTCAGACTGAAACGCCAAGCTATTCGCCATCAGTGCTGGAGGAGGAATTTAGAGCCATCATAATGAGCTATGACGGTATAGATCCGACAAAAAAGCCTCGGCTACCCAAACTATTTTGCAACCCAACGGCAGCTAAAAACCTACGTGAAATGAACAGAATTATCGCTGCTGATATTAGCGACCAAACAGATTTTAAGGACCTACACGCCATGATCTATGCTGGGGCGTTCGCGGTTCTAAAGCTAAACGGTCAGAGACCTACAGATGTTACAAGTCGGAACGGAACTAAAAGGCAGCCAGCTTGGGAAAGGAGGCTAAGCAAGAACATAGATAATATCAGGAGCGATATAGCTATCCTAACGCAGTACCAAAAACCGACATACAGCCAAAGAGTGAAAAAGAAAGGGGACACAATAATGCGACGATATACATCTGAAGAAAACCCAACCATAGTCGAAGTTTTGGACCTTCTAAAGCAGAGACTATTAGCCTTATCTCAAAGAGTGAAGAGATATAAGAAGAGCAGCCAACGTCGTAAACAAAACATCCTATTTCATAGAAATCAGAGAGCATTTTATAAATCTGTGGGCAAAGAATCAGATCGTACACTAAAAGGAAAAACATCATTTCCTAACACAGAAGACATAAGACACTTCTGGAGCGGTATATGGAGCAACCCCAGAGAACACAGAACAGCGCATTGGTATCAGCAAGAGAAGGCTAGAACTTCCATACAAGCAATGCTGCCTTGGACCATAACTAAGGATGATGTAGTGAAAGCAATAGGTAGGACTTCCAATTGGAGAGCTCCAGGGCCAGATGGTGTTCACAATTACTGGATAAAGGCATTTACTTCCACCCACCAACAACTTGCGAAATGCTACTCAACATTCCTCGAGAGGCCGGAAACTATCCCAGAATTTCTAACAACAGGAGTTACATACCTGATCCCAAAAACTGAACAATATACTGCTGATCCCGCAAAATACAGGCCAATTACTTGCCTTTCTACAGCGTATAAACTCCTTACTGCTATATTGGCTGACAAAGTACATAATCATTTGGAACGTAACAACTTATTGGATGAGGAACAGAAGGGATGTCGGAAGGGCTCAAGAGGATGTAAAGAACAACTGATAATCGATGAAATAATAACGGGTAGTGCCAGAAAAAAGAAGTCGCCCTTGTTCACTGCATACATCGATTATCAGAAAGCATTTGATAGTATTCCACATTCATGGTTAACGGAAGTGCTACACCTTTATGGCATAGAAAACCATATCGTGAAACTATTGACCTATGCAATGTCCAAATGGAAAACGCGTCTCTGTCTTAACACCCCAGACTCGCAGATAGATGCTGGAGAAGTCAGTATAAAACGAGGGATCTTTCAGGGCGACTCTCTAAGCCCGCTATGGTTTTGCCTAGCTTTACGCCCACTAACATCGCTGTTAAACAGTCAAGAAAAAGGCGTAAAGATTGCCGAGGATGGTACACAACTATCTCATCTTTGGTATATGGATGATCTGAAATTATTTGCAGAGAAGAAGGATCACCTACATACGCTGTTGGATTGTGTGAGCAGATTTAGCAAAGATGTGCAAATGACGTTTGGTTTAGATAAATGCCGCATAAGTTGCATGACTAAAGGTAAGTGGACAGAGCATGAAGGGTATAAAGTAAGAGGGTCGCAAGGAGAGATCATCAATATGCAAAGGGATGAACGCTACAAATACTTAGGCTACCTCCAGGCACCAGACATAGACCAAAAAATGTCGAAGCAAAGATCTACCGACGAATACTTGAGAAGATTAAGGATCATTCTTAAATCAGAATTGTCTGCTATAAATACGTCTGTTGCAGTGAACGCCTACGCAGCGTCAACGCTTACCTACACCTTCGGTATACTCAAATGGACTGATACTGAGCTGAAAGCCCTAGATATAAGTACCAGGAAAGAATTCCGTCGGTATAGGGCGCATCATCCTAAAAGTGCAATAGAGCGCTTCCACTTAGCACGGCGCGAAGGAGGAAGAGGAATCCCCAGTATGGTGTCCAGACATTACCAGCAAATTGATAATCTAAGGACATACTTCTTGGAAAGGGCGAGTAGTAGCAGAATACATCAGGCACTAGCCAACAGAGGTAAGGGCATTACCCCACTGAACCTAGCCAACCTAGCTCTCAATCCATCCGCGATGGTGTCATCACCCCCCGAACTGATCGAGAAGTGGAAATCCAAGCCACTACATGGACGCTATAGAACGCGAATTGAAGACCAAGCAGTAGACACCAAAGCATCCCAAGAGTGGGTGCGTTCCAGTAATCTGTTCGTGGAGACAGAGGGGTTTGTGATGGCTATTCAAGACCAAGTGCTGCCTACGAAAGTCTACAGAAAGCGAATAATGGGAGAAAATATAGACAATATCAAATGTAGAATCTGTGGAGGTAAAGACGAGAACCTAGACCACATTATGCAAGCTGTTCCACACTCGCCCCAAAACAGTATCTAGAAAGACATAACGACGTGGCAAAAATAATCTACTTGGAACTGGTCAAGCGCTATCTCAATGAAGACCTACTGCCCCATACTATCGCTACACGCCCCTCCAGTTAAAGAGACTGGTCACAACAAAATGTATTGGAACAGGAAAATAATCACCGACCGCACAATACCAAAAACAACATCCCTGACATAGTGCTAACGTTAAAAGAGCAAAAGATAACATACATTATAGATATCGCGGTTCCGCTCCCTGTCAACCTTCAAAGTACCTACCTCAGAAAAAATCAACAATGTATCTACCACTGTCAGAAGAAAATAAAGCGGATGTGGGGAATGAATACAGTTACGATTGTACCGATAGTTATTTGGCGCAACAGGTGAGGTCCTTAAGAAGTTACACACAAGTCTTGAAAAGTTAGACCATGACCAACATGTTTACAAAAAATTCAGAAATAGCCGCTTTACTGGGGACATGCAGAACAGTCCGTAGGGTCCTGGCAGGCGAAAACTCGACAATTGGACCTGCAAATTGGTATAGGCCTTCAAAATGCTTACATCCTCTGGTGCAAACCTGGATTTAGCATATCAAACCCTCTCAGAGGAGATGATTGAATGAAAAATAATAATAATAATAATAATAATAATAATAATAATAATAATAATAATAATATAATAAAGTAATATATATATAATAATAATAATAATAATATAATAATAATATAATAATAATAATAATAATAATAATAATAAATAATAATAATAATAATAATAATAAAATAATAATAATAATAATATAATAATAATAATAATAATAATATATAATATCCCCGCAGGGGGTATCTACTTTTGAAGCTGGATCTTTGATCCGGTTTCAAGGGAAGATACATGGGGAGCGTCGCCCCCACGGCCCCAGGCAGGGAGTTCGGGGTTTGGTAGTCTTATTCATTCTGCCAAACCCTGGGCTTTTCCTTCCCCCTTTCTCCCATCCTTCTCCTTTATTATATCCTGTGCAGCTGTCCGCTGCCCTCCCGACTTTCCTTGTCCTTTCCTTCCCCCATGCGTTGAGGCGGCGCGTGGGGCTTCCTCTTAGCTCCCGGGTGTTTGTGCCGTGCCCGGCGACCCGTAAGCTGGCCAATGGAATCCTGGTGGTTGAGCCCTACCAGTCAGGGGGGCAACACGCCACTTTGGTCCGGCGGTCAGTCTAGAAGGGCGGCCGCGCCTAGCCCAGCGTCGGTCAATCGGCTGTGCCACCCGTCAGAGGGCTGGTTGGGCGAGCCTCCACAGGTAGTAGAAGCCAGACGGGAATAGTTCGCTATGCTCGATGTATGGTGGAGCTACCTGTGGGGACTATACCTCCTTTTCCTAGCATTAACGGTATCCCTGGGGTTATGTCCTAGCGGAAGGCGATTATGGGCATAACCTCCCAATGAGGCTCCGTGGAGGGTGGGGAGCCGGGGAGGCGAATACTTATTTTGAGCATATGGGAACTACACAAAATTCAACAGGTGTGCTCACCTCCTTAAATGTGGGCGCTACAGGAGTGGCAACAGGCAGACCAACCGCCAAATGCGACGACCCCTTCAGCCATGAAAAGGCGGAAATTGTTCCCCGGTTCTTGGTGTTGGGAAGAGGAGATGGGGGAAATTTTGATAAAATGAACCCCTTTCTTATAAACAAAACATTATTTGGATTAGTAGGAGAGTTAAAGAGTATCAGAAAGACAAAGCAGGGCCTTGTAGTCGAAACATCATCCCCAGCACAAGGAAGAAAATTGTTACGTCTTGAAAAATTTGGTGAATTCGATGTAAAAGTCTCACCTCACAGAACATTAAATTTTCAAAAGGAGTCGTTAGTTGCCCTGATTTATTGAATGTACCAGTTGAGGAAATTCTAGATGAACTTCGATCTGAAGGAGTTGTTGAAGTTTCAAGGATAGTTCAAAAAAGAAATGGCTTATTGGTTGAAACACCTCATCATATTCTAACTTTTAACAGACCCAAGTTACCTAAGTCAGTAAAAGCTGCATTTTACTGTCTACCAGTACGCCCCTTTATTCCAAGCCCCGTAAGGTGCTTCAGATGTCACAAATTTGGACATATGTCCTCAACATGCAAGTATGAACAAGTGTGCCTATGTGGTAAAAGATTTACATCAACCTAGTGAATGCATCGAACCATTTAAGTGTGTTAACTGTGGGAATGACCACTTGTCTAATTCAAAGAACTGTCCGAAAATGAAGGAAGAAGTCAGCATACAGAATATTAGAACAACAGACAAAATTTCCTATATTGAAGCTAAACGAAAGTATTACGCCGCAATGCCTGCTAATACAACGTATGCCCAAGTAACAGCCTCTGGGTCAGACAATACTACGGCTAAGAAATTCATTCAGGAGCTCATCCCAGATATTGCTCAGATTATAGACCAACAGGTCAAAAAAGCAATAGATGAGGTAATTAAGACCAGTTTATCAATATACCTGCCGTCTACCTCATCAGAAAGAAGGCCTATGCGACGGGATCAGTATGACCTCGATGCAGCCTCAATTGTCTCTGATACTCCATCACAACTTTCAGATAAAAGAAAAAGGACACAATATATTCGGACTGAAGAGCTAGTCTGCCTTACCGATACTTCTGAATCACAACTAGATGAGCTGAGTCAAACTAAAAGGAAAAAGGGTTGGCCAAAGGGTAAGCGCCGTAAGCCACCCAAACCTGGAGAAAGCTCAACTGCGAATTCTCAGATAGAATCATCATTAGAGCAAATATCAGATCCAACATAAGCTGTGTTATAACGTTCTAAAGTATTGTATATATGTGTATATATATATATGTATATATTCATTTTTTGTTGTTATTATCTGTTTATACATTGTATTTGAAAAATTATTATTCGTCCTCAGATAAATACGCATTTTATTTATATTCACACAACCGTCTTATACAGTCAGGAGCTGATACAAGACACACTACAATATATACTTTTAAACAAAAACCCCTAAATGGACTCTATAATCCAGTGGAATATAAATGGATCTAAGACACATTACCCCTAATTGAAACGATAATGGTTGATAAGCTCCTTTCTGTTTGTGCCTACAAGAGACCCACCTCCGTGATACAGATGTGTTCAACCTGCATAACTACAACTATATACGAAAGGATGCCGCCTCACAATCTCGGGCTAAGGGAGGTGTTGCAATATTTATAAAGGATAACGTACCTTTTAGTGAAGTAACCTTACAAACAGCCTTGCAGTCAGTTGCTGTACAAGTGCATTTGCCCTTTAAGTTCACGATATGTAACATCTACTTACCCGACTTAGTTGGGATAGGAACCAAATAAGAAGTTTATTATCCCAACTACCCCCTCCGTTTCTTCTTGTGGGCGACTTCAATTCCCATAATCATCTATGGGGTTCCAATAAAATTGATCTCCGAGGCAGAATAATCGAGGAACTTGTTGAAGAACATAACCTAGTCATACTGAATACTGGAGAAGGCACATATCTAAATACCCGTTCTTGCAATTTAAGCGCCATTGATTTGACCATCTGTTCCCCACAAATAGCACACCTTTTCCAATGGCAGGTATTGGAGGATAACTTCTCTGATCACTTACCTATTTTAATTAGAACCTTTGTGAAGTGTCATCCTCCCGTTCGACACAGTAAATGGAACATTAAAAAAGCAGATTGGTCTTTGTACCAACACATAATTCATCCTTTCAATATGAACGGCACTGTACATGAATCAGTAATAGAGATCACAAATGGCATCATTGAGGCAGCGGAGGGTAGTATCCCCAAAACAGCCAGTGCAGTCCGTGGTCCTAATAGGGTACCTTGGTGGAACCGCGAACTTGATCATGCAATACAGAAGAAAAAACAAGCTTTTACCCAATTCAAAAGATGCCCAACACTATCTAATCTTATCAAGTTTAAAAAATGTAGAGCGAAAGCCCGTCAACTGATTCTGATGAGTAAGAACTCGTCCTGGAGGGAATTTGTATCTACTATATCTAGAACTACTCCCGATTCTGAGATTTGGAAGAAGATTGGATTATTATCGGGAAAACGCTTCCCTATTCCATCACCTGCCCTGTTGATCAATGATAAAGAAATAACAGACAATCAAGAGATTGTTAATGTCTTGGCACTTGAATTCCAGAATAACTCAAATTCTTCCAACTATTCACCTAAATTTTTAACCAAGAAAGTTGAAGAGGAAACCACACAACTTGATTTTACTGAAGACAGGGTATCTGCATATAACTTGCCTTTCACGTTGGAAGAAATGGAAAGTGCACTAAGTGAGGTCCACAACTCTGCTCCAGGGCCAGATTCTATACACTATGAAATGATTAGACACTTACCTGCAACAGGAAAGATGAATTTGCTAACTCTTTATAACAAAATTTGGGCAGAGGGTATATACCCCCAACAATGGCACGAGGCTGTGATCATTCCTGTATTAAAACCTAATAAAGATCCAAAGAACCCTGGCAGCTATCGCCCTATATCTTTAACATGTTGCCCAAGCAAAATATTTGAAAAAAATGGCAAATAGGAGATTAGTATGGTTCCTTGAAGCACGGAATTTACTTTCAAATCATCAAATGGGCTTTCGGCGTCACCGATCCACTATTGACCAGTTAATCTACTTTGAATCAGCTATTCAGACAAGTTTTGCTAACCGAAATCACATGGTGGCAGTCTCTTTCGATTTAGAAAGGGCATATGATCGAACATGGAGGCACGGAATCTGAAGACCCTATACTCTTGGGGACTCAGAGGCAACCTATTAACTCTCATATCAAATTTCATGGAGGACCGTTTGTTCAAAGTTCGCATAGGAAATGAGCTCTCACATGCCTATACACAGGAAAACGGCATCCCTCAAGGATCGACGCTAAGTGTGACACTCTTTATAATAGCTGTGAATCCCCTTGTTGAGTCGATTGAACCTCATATAGGCAAATGTCTATATGTGGACGACCTCACTATATTCTTCTCTGCAAAGGACCTAATAGAAATCGAGGAAACTCTACAAGCAGCAATAAATCATCTTACGACTACCGCTGAGAGTCTCGGTTTTCAATTCTCCCCCGTAAAAACGGCCTGTATAGACTTTTGTAGGCTGAGAACTCCACACACTAATCCTCGACTGTCACTAAATGGACATCTGATACAGTGTAAAGATACTCTTGATCTTCTGGGGCTAACGTTCGACCAAAAACTTCACTGGGGTCCTCAGATTGAAAAAATCCTTGTTAGGTGCAAGAAGTCCATGAACATTATCAAATGTATCTCTAACATCCAGTGGGGAGCCAGTCGGGAAGTCCTTCTGAATTTATATCAATCTTTGGTCCTTTCGAAAATTGAGTATGGTCTAATTGTGTTTGCATCAGCACGTAAGTCTCATATTGCGAAACTGGAAATACTTCATAGAGATGGTCTAAGACGATGTATTGGTGCCTTTAGGACAAGCCCTTCAGATTCAATATACTGTGAAGCTGGAATGCCACCTCTGAAATACAGAATACAGCAACTTAGCCTCAACTATGCAATAAAAATTGCAGCACAGCCTCTGCATCTCAATAACTCTATCATTTTTAATGAGGAAACGGAAGAACTCTTCCATGACAGACCAACCGCCACCCGCCCCTTTGGAATCCGGGTCAATGAAATACTAGCGGCCCTAGGTATCGATCTGCCAGATGTGGATAACTTGATGTTACCTGATCTACCACCATGGACATTAACAACACCTTTGACCGATACCGAAATGACTCGATACAAAAAGGGACAATTTGTAATGAGGCTATAAATCGAGCTTTTTTGAACATTATTGCAAAATACCAACCATGCAAGATTATTTATACTGATGGATCGAAGACTGCTGAGGGAGTTGGTTGTGCCATAGCCTTTGAAGGATTTTGTCGTGGATGGAGTTTAAACTTGTCATGTTCTATATACTTCGCCGAACTTTTCGCCATCTTTCAGGCTCTTAACTATATAAAAGGTTTAGCAGGAGGTAAGTACATTATCTGCAGCGACTCTCTCAATGCCATATTGGCTATCAAACACAAGTACTCAACAGATCCTCTCCTCATAAAGACGTTGAGTCTCCACCATAAGTTGTATCAAGAAAATAAACACGTTACTTTCATCTGGAGCCCAGGGCACTCTGGAATTCATGGAAATGAACTGGCTGATCAAACAGCTCGCCAAGCAATTTATTGGACGTAACAGGTGTACCACTTCGGCTAGAAGATGCTAAGAAGCTATGAAGGAAAATGTCCTCCACTCATGGCAGGAAGAATGGAACCTCTCGAATAAATTTTTGAAAACGTTCAAGCCAAGCATAAAAAAATGGAGCCTTCCACATATGACACGTAGAGAACAAGTAGTAGTTACGAGAATGAGAATAGGGCACACATTTCTTACTCACTCCCATATGCTATTAGGTAATCCACCACCAAGATGTGAAACATGTAATAAATTGCTCTCATGGAAGCATATTACTGTTTAAGTGTCCTTTATACCTAGCTGCTAGAACAGCACATAACCTAGCTCTGGACTTAGAAAGTTGCTTTCTCACTACTGCCAACATAGGTTCTACACTTGATTTTCTTAAATCTACCAAACTTTTTAGAAACATATAGTGCAATTACGTAGGATCCTACTAAATACATATACGTAAACTGATGATCTATGATTGATTAGAAGTACTAACGTCGGATATGTAATTAAATGCTTGTGTATCCACGATCATGTATACTTATTTTATTAGTGTCCTTGTCTGGACTAAGTTAATTATATGTCTGTGTATAAGATATAATATGTGTGTGCGTATACATGTGTAGATATTTTTTTTTTGTTCTTGTCTTTTTTTTGTGTATTGAAAATCTGAGCTACTTACATGACATCTGAGTCACCCAGATCTACCCCTGTGGTGAAAGTGGCAATTGACCGTATGGGCAGGAGGGAGCGGCTAATGGCCATAGTAGCCGATGCCGCTGTGGGCAATTAAAAAAAAAACAAAAAAAAAAAAAAAAAAAAAATATATAATAATAATAATGATAATAATATAATAATAATAATAATAATAATAATATATAATAATAATAATAATAATATAATAATAAATAATAATAATAAATAATAATATAATAATAATAATAATAATAATAATAATAAGAATATAATAATAATAATAATAATAATAATAATAATAATAATAATAATAATAATAATAATAATACTAATAATAATAATAATAATAATAATATAATAAGTAATAATAATACTAATAATAATAATAATAATAATATAATAATAATAATAATAATAATAATAATAATATAATAATAATAATAATAATAATAATAATAATAATAATAATAATAATAATAATAATAATAATAATAATAATAATAATAATAATCATAATAATAGCTGTGAATCCCCTTGTTGAGTCGATTGAACCTCATATAGGCAAATGTCTATATGTGGACGAC